CGGGCTACTTCAGCCATTATCCATTTCAGAGTGGAAGTGAGAACATATCACAAATGGTTTCCATGACATGATTGCCTAGGGCACGCTCGGGACATGATGTCATTTGGGTAATTATTGACCGACTCACCAAGTCTTCCCATTTTTTAGCCATCAGAATGACAGACCCATTGGACAAGCTAGTAATAATGTATATTCGAGAAATCTGCAGGTTAAATGAAGTGCTAATGACAGTAGTGTCCAACAAGAACCCCAGGTTCACTTCTCAGTTTTGGTCTAATCTTCAACAAGCCATGAAAACAAAACTATCTATTAGTACTACATTCCACCCTCAGACCGATGAATAATCAGAAAGGACGATCTGCACACTATAAGATATGCTCAAAACTTGTGTTCTTAATTTCGGGGGTTATTGGGATGATCGTTTATCCCTAATGGAGTTCGCCTACAATACCTGCTATCAAGCAGGTATTGACATAGCTCCGTACGAGGCGTTGTATGGCTGCCCATGCATATCGTAGATCTATTAGGAAGAAGTGAGTGATAGAAAATTGTTTGGCCCAGATCTTGTAGAGGAGACTACAACCAAAATAGTTAAGATAAAAAAAATATTCAGACGGCTCAGAGCAGACAAAAAAGTTATACGGATACCCGGAGGAGAGATTTAGAATTTGAGAAAGGTGATCGAGTGTTCCTTAAGGTCACTTCTTTAAAAGGAATCCGTTGGTTTGGCAATAGAGGGAAACTAAATCCTCGGTTCATTGGGTCATTTGAAATCTTAGACAAAATTAGCATCGCCGCCTATAGAGTGGCACTGCCTCCAGAACTATACAGGGTCCATAATATATTCCATATGTCCATGCTACGCAAGTACAACCCATATCCCTTTCATGTCCTGGCCCACGAGCCATTTTTGCTTTAGGATGATCTGTCATACGAGGAGATACCAGTCAGCATTGTCGACCGAAAGAGTAGAGTACTCCGCAACCAAAAAATTTTCTTTATTAAGGTCCTATAGCAGAATCACACACCAGAAGAGGCCACATGGAACCTGGAATCAGACTTAAGAGTCCAATATCTCCAACTATTTGATTGAGTGAGAGATAGACAAATTTGATAAACTAAATTTTTTTTAATGGGGGAGAGTTGTAATACCCTTAATTAATTTTAACATAATTAAAATTAATGTATAAATATAAATTTTTTAATTTTTGAATTTTTTATTTAGTGTAAAAATGAAGAAAAGTAGGTGAAGGATTAAATTAGAAATAATTTTGGAAAAAAAAGGTAAAATTTTGGGTTCTGGGGGTATTTTTGAAAGAAAATTCAGAAACTAGAGGTCAAAATACAATTTAACAAAATTGTGCCATATAGGACGCTCTGTCAGCAGCCTTGACAAACCGCAGCGCGCTGCATGGCAAAGCACGCTGACGTGGTACTATACAGGAGGCCATGCTGGCGATCTGCATGTTTTTGATCAAACGGTCTGGATTTGTTCCCGTGCGCACGGATAGTTCAGATCTGTTCTCTCTTTAAATGCGATCGGACGGTACAGATCAAATCACGATGAATTGTCCAGATTCCATTCCTATTTAAACGCGATTGGACGGTTTAGATCAAATCGCGATGAATGGTTCAGATTCACTTCCTATTTAAATGCGATTAGACGATACAGATCAAACATGATGGACGGTTCATATTAAAAAGAGACGGATATAAGTAACCCTTTTCACATCAAATCCTAACCCTAGCCGCCAGATCCCCCTGCCGGAGAAAAAGAGCCGGTCACAAGGAAGGGAGTCGACTATTGCCTGCCACCATGTTGGAGCCACTTCCAACCACCAAAAGGGGTAATGTTTTTTCTCATTCGCTCGAAATTCAATTTTTAACACCCTCATAGCCAAATCGGTGCAAAAGGATCAATGGATGAGCCGAAAACCGCGAGCAAAGCTCGACGGCACCACGGGAGAAAAAACAAAAATCACCTCCAATGAGGCCCTTTCTGATTCCCATTTTTTGTAATTTTTTCACTATTTTAATCATCATTCCTTTCTCTACAGGTTGCCCAAAGCAAAACACCCAACCGCAAAGGTGAGCTGGCGGAGCCGCTGTACCGAAAAACTCCACTGCCGGTAAACTTCAGTTTTTCGACTTTTTTCGGCCAACCGAGACCCATTAACATATTTTATCGCAAATATGGGTACAAAACCACCCGAAATTAGCCCAACCCGAGGCAAACCGCTGCCACAGTCGGTGGTGCCATCGTCGGAACACGGTAGAGGCGTCGTACTGAAATTCTAGAATTGTCCAAAAATGATTTATGATACTGATATCGGGTTTTTTGGGATATTTTTAGGTATTTAAAGTGTGTTTTAATCACCGAAAAAAAATTCAGGGAATCTAGAGACCGCCAGTAAATGCCAGTGAGAGTTTAGCATCTCGAACATTAATTTACGTAAGAATCCCTCACTTTATTCCTTATTATAGAATTGAAATGTAATTAGTAATAATACGGTATTTTGTGTAGTTTAAAAAATATGCGTAATTAATTACAAGTTATTAATGGAGACAGAACTAGTTATTTATTATTGTTTGCCTTGTTTATCTAATTGATTGATTTTACAATTTGAATGCATGATAATATACTAGAATTGGTATGATAACTCAATAGTGTTTTCTTGATGCATGTATTTCTTGTCTTACGTGATTTATAATTAATTAGAAAACTAGAAATTAAAGGTAAACGAAAAATTATTTGATTAAGTAAATTAATGAACGACATCCTTACTAGATATCCTGAGATATGGTGAACGGACCGGGTACATAGGGAACCCTGCTGTGAACGTTGACTCATACCGGACGGGATGTAGAGACGACCCATTAATTGAAAATGTTACAAAAAAAAATAGTTCGCGCATAGTGGGGACATCCCTATGAACCTCAATGGATACCAGTAGAATGATAAAAGAGAAAGTTGTTATTGCCAACTGATTGCATATGAGATTGTGATATTATTTATGTTATTAACTTTATAGGTTGGTTTTGAAAATCTCGTTACGGTAAGTATGCAGTAAATGATTTTATTTTTGATAAACGAATTTAGTTAAATTAAGAATTTCATTAGTTATTTTCATAATTTTTATCAACTTTCATTTTTGTATCGGTGAGTAGCGTGATATTCTTAATGAATTTGTGTAACTTACTCTTTCATTAACCATTTCAGATCGAGAGAACTAAGATCAAGAACCCGGTCTACAAGAAGGTTACGAGTAGGATGTTCAGTTGTTTATTTTTCATTTATTTTTTTGATTTTTGTTATTTCTTTTAAAATAGTAATTTTCGTATTCTTATTGGATAATTTGAATTATTGTATAAGAAGTGTAAACTCTAAGTATTTATTTTAATTTCACATTCAATTCATAATTTATTTTCTTTTAAGTTCACGAGTCTTTACAAATCAATTTTGTTAAATAAGTAGCATTAACAATAAAATAATAATATTTATTAATTTAAAAATTATCATGTATAATACGTTGTAATCTAATAAATTAAATTAAATTTATGAAAACATAAAATTTTAGAAAAATCAAAAAAATATCAACCAATCTACTAAAAATAATTTAAATTATTTGTTTCAAGCTTCCTTCTTTCAGTTTCATTTTCCCAAGCTGACCAGTAGAGAAGCAATGGGTTTTGAAAACCAATTTGTCTTGGTGGTACAGCTGTTGAAGACCGACTCTGCAACTTTTGAGCACATTTTTTTAGGCTCTTTGGGAAGGAACCCTCAGATTGACACTTGAAAATACCAAATTCAGAATCAATTCTTTCCTCTCCTCGTCATCAACACCAGACTCCACTCTGTGCGGAATCTCTTACCCACATTTTTACTCCATCTTCATCTACAGAGGTTTAATGTCAAATCGCTGATTTCATCTTTCACTCTGTAATTTTCTGTTTCATCATCTACAAGATTTTAATGTAACTTATTGCCATAATACATATACCCATGAGTCAAAAATAGAAGTACCCTCCATTTAGTCAAGAAATATGTGTAATTATATACTAAAGCTCGAAACTTGGATTCGAGAATTATAAGAAACTTAGAAGTTGTTTAATTACAGTGGTGGAAACAAGTGATATGCATTCTCCACCTCTTTGTTTTGCCGCATTTTCTGATTAATAAAAACTATATATAAACTTTCTTCTTCTTTACAACCAAAAGAAACAGTTTTGGATGAAACTGGTAAAAAATAAAAATAAAAAGAAAGACAAACTTGCTTCTGCTTAAGCTTTAATCATGAATTACTTATATGGCGAGTTGAATTCCAGTTTGGTGGTAGAAGAAGAAGAGTAAAAGAGAGATGAAGCAGAGAAGCTTGTGTTATTACTTTTTGGATACAATATCTGGGAAGCTGATTTAGAAGAAGACGAACTTGCAGGAACTCCATTACTTGACTGGTTCTTGTTATTTTCTTCTACATGAGTTGCAGGTGATCCTTTGATGAGCATATCAACCTTTGCATACTCCTCTTTTTCATGCTTGATTTCTTTGAGCATGGCAGCTACGTCTTTCATGTTTGGTCTGTCATCCGGGCAAGAATTCACACACAGTAAAGCTATGCCTAAAGCTTGCATCATTTCTTCAACCTCTGATTCTGGTCTACACAGAAGACAAGGCTCAAGAACTTCAATCCCGCCTCTCTTTTGTTTCACCCAATCCACAACATGAACTCCTTCTGGAATTGTTGGATCAATGGGTTGTTTCCCTGTTAAAACTTCTAGCATTACCACTCCATAGCTGTACACATCGCTCTTCTCTGTTATCTTCATCATGTAACCATACTCTGCAATTCAAGTAATGTTATTAGTTCAATATTGATAAATGAGAAACTGGATATAAAGTGGAAATTAAAGGGTATTTATTACCAGGAGCGATATATCCGTAGGAGCCTGCGACTGTGTTGGATGAGCGAGCAAAGTCACCATCATCTACGAGCTTGGCTAGGCCGAAATCTGCAATGTAAGGCTCAAATTCAAGGCCAATGAGAATGTTATTGGCCTTGATGTCTCTGTGAACTATTGGAGGGACACAATCATGGTGTAAATAAGCTAGGCCTTGAGCTGCACCCAACAATATTTGGTACCTAAGTTCCCATTCCAATGAGTTTCCTGTCCTCTCATGGAGGAGGCTACCTAAGCTCCCATTAGGCATATAATCATACATGAGAAGTCTGGTGTTCCGATTCCAACAACAACCCAAGAATCTAACAATATTCTTATGACGAATTGAGCCTAGTGTTTTCACTTCTGCTGAGAAAGAATCTCGAACCAAAGATTTGTCATCGTCGTGTCCATTTGTTGTTGTCATTGTTGCTGGCCATAGTTTCTTCACCGCAATTATGTCACCATTGTCCATATCAGCACGATAAACAATCCCAGAACACCCTTTTCCAATCACGTTTGCATCCACCAGGTTCTTCAAAACTTGGTCTACTGAGAAATTTAACTTCTGAAATGGAGTGAACTGCCAGGGCCATGAGTCCCCCAATTCAGAATCATCATCGTCTCTGATACTTCTTCGTGCTCGAATCACTGCAAATGCACCCATAATTATCATCACCACTGTCAGGGTAATCAACAGTGCAAGTGCTAGTTTAAGTTTTCTTGACCGAGCTGCATCATTTTGATTTCCTTCTCGTCCAAGTTTGCCAGCATCGCTCAAGAAACACGAGTCACGCCTCGATGAACATAGGCCCTGGTTTCCTTCAAGATTTGCTGGTGGCAACTGCCTAAAAAGCTTGTTATCCGGGAGATAACCAGTGAAGTTATTATAAGAAACATTGAGAGAAACAAGATTATCAAGTTCTGCAAGTGGACTCAAATCACCTTCTAGTCTGTTGTGTGCTAGATCCAGTATCGAAAGCTTGTTAAGGGCAGATACTTGAGGCGGGATTGACCCGGTTAGTCCATTGCAACTCAGGTTGAGAGCAATTTCAAGAGCTTCAATATGACCCAGCTCCATCGGTATGTTCCCAGTAAGCTGGTTGCTGCTAAGATCAAGCAACTGGAGACTGAAGCAGAGTCCAAGCGATGAAGGGATTGACCCAGAAAATAAGTTCTTTCCCAGAATGAGCTTGCTTAGTGAAACAAGGCGGCCTAAGCTTTCTGGTATCTGACCAGTAAATCCATTAGCCGAAACATCCAAAACTTGGAGAGCAGACAGTAATGACAACGCACTAGGCAAAGGACCCTGTAATATATTGTTGCTAAGATCTATCATTTGCAACTCTGTGCAGCTTCCAAGCTCATCAGGCAATGACCCAGAAAGGCGATTACTCGATAAATCAAGAAAATTTAATCTCTTGAGACTCCCAATTTCTCTAGGAATTCCACCTACAATCCGGTTGTTTCCAAGCCTTAGCCTCACAAGAGAGCTGCAGTCACCAACCTCTGGAGGTATTGAGCCAGAAATATCATTGGAAATCAACAGAAGTTTAGTGAGGTTTTGAAGCTGAAACAACCCAGCAGGAATGCCACCAGTGAGGGAATTGTGGGATAAATCTAAAGCTTGGAGATTAGTACAAGTAGCCAAACTTGGAGGAATACTTCCCTCAAGCTGGTTCTCCCAGGCAAAGAACACTGTGAGCTTTGATAACATGCCAAGCTCTGGTGGGATTAAACCCGAAATTTGATTCGTATCGAGTTGCAACTGTAAAAGATTGGTGGCATTGGATAGAGTTGAAGGTATTGTACCAGAAACATTGTTATCACTGATCATAAATTCCTCTAGATACACAAGATTTCCTATAGAGTGAGGTATAGTTCCAGACAGAGAATTCAAGGAGAAATCAATCATTTTCAAGCTACTACAATTTCCAATCTCTTCTGGGATTGCTCCAACTAGACTGTTTTGCCATAACATCAATTGCTCTAACTTTTTCAGTTTACCAATATCTGGTGGTATAGATCCAGAGAGTGTGTTTTCGTAGAGAAACAAGTTAACAAGTTCAGAACAGTTACATAAATGAGGAGGGATCTCACCAGACAGCATTGTGGTGTATATAGACAGTGTTTGTAGCTTGCTTAGCCTGCCTAGAGATACAGGGAGAGAACCAGAAACACCCGTTTCAGCCAGCCCCAACACGGTCAAGTTGGTGCAGTCTGCAAGCTCATCTGGAATCTTACCTTCAATGTCTTTGTTCCCTCCAGCTCTCAACTCTTCCAGATTGGATAACTTGCCGAGCTCAGATGGGATATACCCACTTAATAAATTGTCAAAAAGCAGCAGATTCTTGAGGCTATAACAGTTGCCTAGCTCAACCGGGATCTTCCCTGTTAATTGATTAGAGTTCAAAATCAACTGTTCAAGTTTCTTGAGTTTGCCAATGCTTGCAGGGATGGACCCAACTAGCTTGTTGGAGCTAAGGTCAAGAAGTTGAAGTGCTGTACAATCAGCTATATAAAGTGGGATTGCTCCAGTAAGATTTGCATCAGAAAGTGTGAGTTTTTGAAGAAAGGGAAGAGAGGAGCAGAGATGATTTGGGAGAGAAAGGTGAAGAGGGATTGACAGTATGTTGATTTCAGTAACAAAAGCTTGAGGAGAACATGTTATGGAGGTCCAGTTACAGGGGTTATCATCATGATTGTTCCATTTGAAAGAAGAAGAAGAAGGAGAAGAATGTAGCCATGAAAACAGAAAAGAAGCTTCATGATTCTGAGCTGCGTGGATGCAGGGAAAGAGAAAGAAAAACAAGAGAAAGAAAATCGAAGAAGAAGAAGAAGAAAAATTAATGAGGGACATTTGCCTTAATTTCCAAAACTTCCTTCTCGGGTTTGCACCATTTGGGGTTTGCTGCTGCTTCTCGTGCTATACGTCCCTTGCTTGCTTTCAACTCCACCACCTCTACAAACACTGTCTTTGCTTTTTAATTTTCTTCAAGAAAACCTTTAAAAAATTTGCCTAGAGATCAACAAACTCCACCACCCACCATCACCTCCACACCTTGGATCCTCTCTCTCTCTCTCTCTCTCTCTTTCCCTCTCTCTGTTTAATCTCTACATACACATGTATCAATCAATATATATATTTAAAAAAATGACCAACGGAACTTCCCTATATATATAATGTGTGTGTACATGTATATGCACATAGAATAATGGTGTTTCTTGCCCATCACTTGATATCTTTCTATATGCAACAATTGTTTATATACACTGAATACCAATTAACTTACTGTGTATGAAACTATATTAATTTAAATTTTAATAAATTTAATTTTTTTAATTATAATATTAAAACAGATACAAAAATTGAAATATAATTTTTTTTTTTTTTATAGAAAGAAAAAAACTTTTAAAAAAAATAAGAGGGATTAGAGCAGTTGGGTAAAAGCTCAAACTTCAAGTTAGTGTTTTCCCTCTCACCAAAATCTTTATTATATAATACACAAAAACAGACATTGGCTTTCCCTAATTTCCTCTCTACCCTTTCTCCTATTTTCCTGTTTTTTTACTTGCAAAAAATATTAGGTTTCCTTTTCTGTCATTAAGTTGCCTATTCTGTCCTAATTACAATTATTATTATTTTTTTTTAAATTCAATTCCAGCAAATTAAGTAAGTGGGTATAATTGTAAGATAATAATTTTATGCCTTAAAAAAAAAAATTAGAGATGTTAGGATTAATTAGTCTTAAGATATGGATTAATTTTATTAAAACTATTGACTTTTGCTTTTAAAGTAATTAAATTAAATCTAAATTTTGAATTTTCCATAATAATTCACACCCACAAACTTAATTTAGCACTTACTATATCTCTTAATACAATAATTATACATAAGAAACTATTAACTTTGGTATTTATATATATATATATATATAATGCATTCATTTAAATCTATTTTATTATCATTCAATTTATAAACATTTATCATTTGATATACAAACTTAATTAATTATAATTTATGTATTTGATGTATAACTAAATTAACTCCAATCATATATTTCATTTTGCAATAATAGATTTGTATTATGACAAGTTGTCAATGAATGAATCATAAGACATTAATGATTTATGCTTTTGATTTATGAATATAACATATATATATATATATATAAATAGTGTATGTAAAAGAAAAGGAGAGATATATTTGTATAGTCATATATGTAAACCAATTATTGTTGTATTGTATTAAATATTAAAAAGGTTTCTGGTCAAACTAGCTAAAAGAATGTATATATTACACTTCGTCTCATTTAATCAATATTTTGGACCAATTGACATGATAGTCTGCCCTCTAATCTATATATACACACACACACACACTATATCGGCCGGCCATACGAGAAAATTAAACCGAAACAAATCTCACCATGTTGTGAATTATGCATGCATGTGGGTCACGTAAAATATATATCATAATACATAGCCCGCAAAGATACATACATACATATATATATATATATATAATTGCCCTTGACTAATCATGTTCCATATATAATTATGATTAAGAGAGTAGAGCTATGGCTTAAATGATATCCGGTAATTGAATTCAAGCAAATTTTCACATAAAACTAAGTAAATATTCGCTCTCTGATTTATTTGTTTTTAGTAGTTTGTTTTCTTATTAAGCCGGTACATATAGTGTATGTATGTATGTATGTATATATATATCTATATTCTACATTAGCATTTACTTTTTTATTTTTTATTTTTGGTTTTACCTGGCATATACATGTATATATATATGTAGAAGCATATATATATATATAATAATAATAATTTTTGAGGAAAAATAGAAGCATATTTTGAAGTGAGAGATTAGGCATCAGATTAGTGTTAGATCCAATGGCATTTACGTGTTTCTTATAGTTTAATCTGTGAGATCCAAAAATTTCTTATATTAGTATGGTACAATTGTATAATTAATTTCTCTCTATGTGTATATATATATATATATATATGTATATTATAATAATAATAAGCTTTCTGGAGAATTAACATTGTGGAGGGGAATTAATTAATACACAGAAGCGGTAACTTTAAGGTATATGCATCACATATATGTCTGTGTATTGCACAAACTGATTAAACTCACATTTCAAATATTAACGTATTTCTATGGTCATAAAAAAAAAAAGTTATATATATATATATATATATTAAAAAAAATAGTCATACACTGTCTATTTAATTTGAAAATAACACAACATTTGTTTATCTATTAATTACGGTATGGAAAATGACTTTGTTAATTATTAACATCATAGAATATTTTTCCAATATATATTATATAAACAACAATGTACGTATCTATTTTTTTTTAAGTAAAAAATTTATATATTTTATTAATTATGTAGTATTCACGTATTAATAATAATACAACTTTTTAATTATAATACGCATAAATATATAACAGAACTAATACCTATAAATATACTTGAGTAAGTGGATATATACTTATGCTTTGACTCAAATATTATGAGTTCCTATAGAGTATTTATATGACTATAAATATTGAATCATCCGTCTTTTGAAAATGCTCGAAGACATGATGAATTTTACCACTACACAGATATTTATAAAGTTAATTATGATGCTTCAATGGAAAAATATAATTGGACTAATCTTAGAGTAGTTTGTCGAGAAAGTACTGCAATTTTCTTTATATCTATGCAAAGAATTTTAATTTAAATTTTACAATTTATGAATATGACAAAAATATATGCTTTCGTCTGTAGATTCTAAGTAGTCATTTGGTTCGACTTCACAAGACTTATTACTTATAAAATACAATCAGATAATTATCTTTTTTATATACTATCGTACATCAAACTCATTCAAATATTATTTTGCGTATGAATAATTTAATTTTATTAAGTCATACTTTGAATTTTATTTCAATTTCTTAAAGTTTTGCGACTGGTAATAGAGTACCTTATGCACATAACACAACGAACAATTTGTTAACCCAGACTGAGATTGAGAATACCTTTCGCCAAAGCCTCGTCTGTTTTTGGTTCCTTTATTATCGCATTACTCTTTTTCTTCTTCTTCTATCTGGTTTAATGAATTTTTAGTTATATATATTTTTAATTATTTAATTTAGTTCAACAAATTAAATATATAACATCAATGAAAAATCAATTGACCATTGTCCTAACAAGAAGAAAAAATAGTCTACAAACTCTAGTACAATAACTTAGTCTGTCGGTCGGTCAATTAATCAATCAATCAATACTTACTATAAAAGTCATTGAAAAAATAGTCAAGAACATTAAAGGCAAGTGTTATATAAGTGGAAGTTTTATTAACAACATATCTCCCCATTTTGAGGAACATCACGTGAGGATTGGAATCTAAATTTTTTCTCCCACTATACTTTCACCTAAACCTAACCCACATACATATATATGCATACCCTTTAAATAATGAAACAATATATAATATAATATGTGTGTGTGTGTATGTATAGGAACAAAGAAGCCCATTAAACTACGACTTTAGAACCATAAAGAACACTCTCTATCGGCAATATTTTTATATTCTATCCTACACTTATTCTGAATTGAAGAGTTTATTTAACTTAAATTGTAAAATGTTTGATTTTAATTTTTAGTACGTGCAATTGGGTAAGTTATTTTTTTTTTTTAAATAAAATAATTGAAGAACACGTAATATAAAAGTCATTAATTTTATTTTTTATTTTATAAAAAATGCATATATGAAAAGGTAAACGGCGCTGCCCTTATTTTAAGGGTGTGTTTGGCCTTGGGAGTATCGCAGTGGAATCTATACACGTTGGACATAACAAAAGCTCCACCCACCTTCGCCTTTTCATTAAATAATTTTTTTATTATTTAGACACACAATTATTTATTTTATAAAATAAAAATTTAAGGTAATATTTTATTTCGATAATTCAATACACCCTTTTGAATAAATTTGTATTGACTATAAATATATGTATATATATATATGTGTAGAAAACTGGAAGTGGGTAGGGATAATTTCAAGAGAAAGACAAGTTGGGCTTTCACCGAGAGGGAGTGAGTGAGTCCAAGTATTAAATAATTAAATTTTAAATGAAACAACTGTATAAATTTATTTCTTCAGGTAAAATTTAAGCTAATATTAACAAATTATTTAGCAAATATGTCCAAATATATATATATGTATTTAATATAATCACATAAGCATTCAAATTAAACTAATTGTAATTTTTTTAAAATTACCAAATGAAGTATCAGTTTATTTGGATTTTATTAAGTCTTATAATTGAAATTGAGCATTCATGCCCAACATATATAGTATTATGTTTTCATAATGATCTCTCTCATATTTTATATATTTTTTTATTAATATTTAATAAAATAAAATTATTATATATGACTGTTTATGTAACAATTTTAAAAAATAAATTATAAATTTAGTACGAAAACGAACACGATAGTCCATCGTTTTAGAATTAAATTGTGTTATTTTAAAATTCGACAGTATTTTTTGTAATAATTTAAAAAAAATTAATCTACTTTCGAGCATGCTTTGTTTGTTCTACGCTTTTCTTTTTTGGTGCTAAAATCCTATCTATAGATATTTTTGTTAGTATTAGTATATATTTAGATGCTCACGTAGAATTTGGAGATCCAATTACAAAAAAAAAAAAAAAACAAGTAGTACGAGTCACATATTTAATTAAAAAGATCAAAATAAAAGAATCAAAATATTTCTCAATGTTATACCGAGATTTATAAGGAAATTAATACAGAAAATAAAGAGAGTTTAAAACTAATAACAAAAAATTCTACAAAATTTATGACGTCATCATTTTCCAATTAACTTGTGGGCTTCGGCCCTGTAACCGAAGGTCCATTAAATATTAATTTTGTGATTAAGAACCAATTAAGAAAAGTGAAAAAAAAAAAACTAAGAGGTAATTTAAGAAAAATGAAAAACAAGGGACTGCGTTTACTGTGATATCTCTGTAGCCTGTTGTATGTTTGCCGTCTTCCCCTCGAAGCTGGGTCTTGTCTCTTGTCCTCTGTGGAAAACATAACTAAGTAACCAAAAGCAAAGAAAAGGAGCATGGCGGCTGCAAGAGCCGGGACGGGAATACTAGTATCACGGCCGGTGACATTTGTAACTGGCAATGCCAAGAAGCTCGAAGAGGTTAAAGCCATATTGGGCCAATCAATTCCTTTCCAGTCCCTCAAGCTCGACTGTATTCGTTCGCTCTCTTCCACTCTCACTTTCCAATACCCATTTCCTCTCTTACATTTTCTCCTTCTGAATTACTTTTTTGGGTGTTTGTATTTATAGTGCCAGAATTGCAAGGAGAGCCTGAAGATATCTCCAAAGAGAAGGCTCGTTTGGCTGCTCTCCAGGTATTGCCATTACCTCTGTCTCTCACAAAGTTGTGAATATGTGGTTTGTTTTTCAATGTTCGTATTTGGCAATTTGAAAAGGTAAACGGGCCAGTGTTGGTGGAGGATACTTGTCTCTGCTTCAATGCCCTAAAGGGTCTTCCTGGTATGTTACTGTGGGATTTCTTTATATTTTTCTTTGTTGGTTTTTGCTACAAAGGCGTGATTACGGTGCTTACATTTTGTTTTCATTTTTCGGGAAAAAATTGCAGGGCCATACATGTAAGTAGATAATTCCTTTCTTGTTCTACTCTGAGGTGAAGTTTATATTCTCTGGCTCTCCTTCCTCTAGGAGTTCGATTGATTTTGCTAAGTTTCTGCTTTATTTGTCGAATTGTGAAATTTGGTATTATGGCCTCTCTTGGAATGTAGGAGAGCTTAACATAATTGATATCATCCAGCTAGCTACAACAGTCCATGACGAGCTCCTCGAAAGAAAATCCTGAGGGTTACCACATAGGAGCAGACTAACAGCCACTTATCTATCTCCACATACAGCTTGTCAATCCTCTTCTCAGTTGCAATAAGAAGACTCTCTTTAAGCCCATCTCTAAGCCGAACCAGTTCTGCATAGAGCTGCAGACATGGAATTAACCTCCTCGTGAAGCCCTCTAACCATCTGCCGTTGGCATCCTAAAAGGGATTAGCCACGCATGCCTTATGGTTGCTCACACTTTGATCATGTTAAGTTTTAGTGATTCTGCTGGAGGGGTGTAAATAGGGACGATAGCAATGGAATGCGTTGTTGACTGTATTTGCAATCCAAAGGCCACCATCATGTCGTTGTAGATAGTGTTAATATACTAGCAACTAGCATACCAATGGTCATCTACGTCCCAATATCCTGCAGGTAAGCAAAGCACCCAACAGAGAATAGAAGAATCAAATTATCTTTTTGAGCTTTTGCTGCTGGTTTCCCACATATTTATAGTGAAATGGCCATTTATACCAGCATCAAAGAAGAGAAGGTTATACTGCAGAAGATATGAGCAATTTCTTTCCTCATATCCCCATACCCATTGAACTAGGTTGAATCAACATATTGGCATTTAAAATGAAGGGAGTTGGTTGCCAAGCAGTTTTGCATGCAAAACCAAACGAACATTTGATTTTCTGAGTGATGTTTAGCTTCCACAGCTTGCCATAGTGCCTCTGTCTAACTTAGCATCAGCGAACAACTTCTACACAGATTTGCAAGAAAACTTACAACTACTGAGAGACCCTAGTAGACTTTATCCTGAGCACCAACAATCTGGACTTGGGTGACATATGATTTCTTCGACAATTAAATTATCCCAGCAACTTTAAAGCAGACTGTCATCCCAAGTCCCATGTTGTTCAATGCTTCATAACACTATGCTTGTTCTTGATGACATTGTTCATTCTTTTAACCACAGAGTAGGTTCCTAGTCATCGATCAAGTTCAAATTTCTAGAATGGTTGAAAAGGAGAAGATTCTTAAGTCCTAATCTAGGTGATGTAATTTTGTAAAAAGATTTATATTTTCTTGATAAATCAGGTTTATCATCCTTTCTCTGACTTAGGACAATGATGGAACCTATACAGCAAAATAAAAGAGGAAAAATAAATTAGAAGGCACCAAGGGGGTGCCGCCCATGTACACAACAATCTTTTTCCTGCAATGTCTAATAATATAAGAAGCATACACTTAATAAGATTAGTTTTGTTGCTGAGCATAATAGATGAGATTTTGGGATTAACTATGACTGTGATGTTGCTTTCCTGCTCAACCAATCAGCGGAAAGCCAATTCTATTGAGCTTATTGACTGTCCCCATAATAGAATAGAAAGGATGCGGGAAATGGAGAGGGCTGCAAAAGTTTCTTATTAAGAACTCTTTTATTTAATCTCTCTAGGCTCTAATTCCATATATTTGAGGCTTACCCTATTACTTTTAGATCTCCACACTCTACCAAATTCTTGACACACTTTAAAAAACTAAATGAGATAGACTATAACAAATTTGGTTTCATAGTATATATGTAGGACTGGTTGGACGTCGTAGCTGGTCATGTATATTTGTAGTATTTAACAAGGAGAAAATACTAATGAAATCCGTTTATTTGGCTGAGACTGTTTTCCATTTCAATTTGCTTCAAAATGCATTTGTTAATTTTCTTTTTCTAATTGCATATGGTTGCAATTCCTGTCACAGTTTAAGGCCTCCATTGATTATATTATCATCAATTATTGGTTCCATTAGTTCGTAACTTTGCCAAGCATGTGGTTCTTAGAATTCTTGTTTTCTGTCTCCACTCTTCCATTTTTTGACACAACTATATAATTCTTGCAGCAAGTGGTTTCTTCAAAAGATTGGTCATGAAGGTTATAACAATTTTTCTTTTTCCCTCCTTTTCTTTTTAATGATTTATCTTCTCCAAAAATTTACTATTTGTTGTTGTGACAAATGCTAGGTCTGAACAACTTGCTGATGGCATACGAGGATAAGTCAGCTTATGCTCTGTGTGCATTTTCTTTTACTCTAGGCCCAGATGCTGAACCTCTTACATTTGTGGGAAAAACACTGGTATGTTTTATCTGACTGAACAATCAAAATTTATTTGTATTAATGGTAAATTGGGTTGGAAGCTGGGACTGTTAAGGTATATAATCAATTAGTTAAACTGATCTTTTTGTTCTTATCTGCTTCACCTTATCATTTTCTTCACTCTTATCAGGGTGGAACAGCCTTGAACACCAAACACCCCCCCCTTCCTCCCTCCTCCCCCATCCCTTCCAGATTTTACATTTAATCCAGATTTAATATCCAATATTTACATGCAGCCTGCTTTAATTCACATAATTCACATGTAAGCCCCCTCTTTAATATACAAAATATAGATGTAGCCTCTTTTTTTTTTGAAATAAAAGTATGAAGTTGTATTGAAGTAAAGGTGCCAATGGGGCACCACTCATTTACAAAAAATTTACAGATCGATTTAACAATCGACTATAGAGTCGAGATCATCAAAGCATTCGATGTTATGTTCTAAAATAGTGGACCCAAAATAATAGAACCAATTGTCAGTGATGATTCTGAAGTCGACTTCTTTTCCTTCGAAGCACGATTGTTTTTTTCCTTCCAAATGATCCGAAATATAGTGAGAGGGACGAGTCTAAAAGTTTTTCTATGATAGCTCAATCCTTCCCATGCAAGCAGCTCATCCAAAATTGATTTATGTTTGACCCAAGATGGTCCCATGAGGCCAAGAATAGTAGACCAAAGGTTGTGAGAGACCGAACATCGCAGAAGTAGGTGATTACACGTTTCATTGTTGTTTTCGCAGAGAAAGCATCTATTGACAATAAAACCTCTTTTCATTGAATTATCTACTGTAAGAATGCGACCTTTCGTAGTTTCCCATGCAAAAAAAAAAATTCTTGGAGTGGCAACCAATTTGCTAACAATATTAGCTGAAAATTTTGTCTGTTGTGGAATATTGCTGACCAAAGTCTTATACAGGGACTTGACTAAGAAATTAGCAGATTTGGTGTGTTGTCAGATGAGTTTGTCATTGCTGTCAGTTAGGCGGATGTGAGATAGAGTTTAGATCAAATGTTCATATTCTTCAATTTTCCAATTTTGCAAGTTTCTAGACACTGTCACCTGTCATTGATTCAGTTCGACGGCATCTTTTATTAAAATGTCTTTGTATCTAGCAATCGCTTAAATAATTAAAAATCTTGATTGGAATACTTCTCTGTCATGCCAAATTTTACAAATAAACACCCTCTATTATGTGAACTTTACATATAGAGCCTCCTCTCGTATTAAATAATTTACTAAAATTCAAAGGATAATATAGTAATTAATAAGATATAATTTTAAATATTTTTTGTTACAAAAGGTATTTTGGTAACTTTTTTATTCTTATACTTTTTAGCATTTAATATTCAATTTTTTTCTTTATATGTATGTTAGTGAATATATTGTATTTATATGGTATAAGAAATATTAATTTACAATATTAATTTACATACTAACTAAAAAGAAATTAATATTACCAGAAATACAATTTGGATTTACCGCTGCCCCCAGTCCTTTTTAACAAGAAAATTGAACACAATCCTCTTTTTGTACAATTTGTCTTTCCACTCTCTGATTCTCTTCATCTCTTTAGAGTCCTTAAACTAGGTTAAGAAGAGGAAAAGAGTTTCTCTTGTTAGGAGAAAAGAGAATATCCAAGAAACTCCATAGGGTGATTTTTTAATTATTGCTTGGATGTCTTCTTGGGACTGCTAGTACTGATGTGACCCTATTCTTGAGATGTAGGAAGGCTTCCTCTGATTCCTTAGTCCACTGAAATTCTTTTTTCTTCAACAGTTGCTTCAGTGGGCTCGCTATTTGTCCACAATTGCAAATAAACCTCCTGTATTACCCTGTGAGACCAGGAAATCCTTGAATTTGCTTTAGTTTAAGGGTTTTGGCCTATCGAACAGCCTTGATTTTTCTGGGTATGTTAAAATTGCTTTAGATATCACATTTCTGAGGTACTCCAATTGGGTTGTTCTTAATTGGACATTTTTTTTAAATAAAAGAAGATTCGAATTAGTTCCTAATTGGACATTAAAGTACATTTACTCCTCTTGGCAAAAATTGTATTCTTTTGAAGTAGAAACAAGTTTTGTTCAAATGGTCCTTGTGTTGTAAATCAATATATCCTCAAGCAAAACAATTACAAACTTATGTAGAAAAGATCTAAATACCTCATTCATTAGGGATTGAAATGTTGATGGTGTGTTGGTAAGGCCGAAGAGCATTACAAAGAACTCATAGTGTCCTTTATGAGTTTTGAAGGCCGTCTTTTGGACATCTCCCTGAGCCATCCGTTTTTTTATGATAATCGGATTGAAGATCCAGTTTCAAAAAGGTGGTGGATCCTTCCAATTCATCCAATAATTTCTCAATTATAGGCGTGAGGAATTTGTTTTAATGTCATTCTTGTCAAGTTCAGAATAGTCTGTACACATCGTCCATGTGCCACTATTCTTTTTCACCAGCACTGATGAGAAAGGGCTGTGGCTCACTTGAATTACTCCAACTTCTAACAACTTATATCATCATCTCCTCAATTTCATCTTTGTGTTCCTTAGAGTGCTTATATCAGTCTTGTGTGGATCAATGAGTACGATCTGATGATCATGCCAACATTTAGGTGGCAGCTGAGTAGGAACAGCAGAAGCAACCGGATATTGATCCAAGATTGGTTGTAGTGCTGGTAACAATTCTTCCTTTGAATGCTTGCTAATGTTGCCATCTTCTGAAGGATTGACTTTTTGAATAGAACAGAAGTGTCCTATTGAACTTATTTGCAACAGCCGGGACATTCTTGTACTTGAGATTTGTTTGATTTTCCCTTCAACTTATCCTTTAAGCTGGAGCCATCTTCCATTCTTGACAAAGGAGATAGTAAGCCATCTAAAATTCCACGCAATGTCATTAAGTTTAGATAACCATATTGTTCCTAGCACTGCATCTGCTCCAACCGGTGTCAGTATGAGGAAGTCTTCCTTGTATTTCTCCCCTTGCATGTACCATTTAGATTTATGGCATTTGTTGCATACCAAGGTATTTCCATTAGCCACTTTCATCATCATTAATTTTGTTAATTCTAAACAAGCATCCCATTTCTTTGGCCATCCAACTGTGCAAGAAGTTCTGACTACCGAGCATACCTGTGGTTCTTTTCCATAACTCCGTACTACAATCATGGAGTTAGTGGAGTTAGGCATTCCTTGTAAAGCATACAATGATAGCCGTAAGGGGTCTTCTTCCTCCTGTTGCTTGCGAATGGTTATTTCTTCTTCCTCCTCTTCCTCTTATTCCTTATTCTATATGGTTAAGATCAGCAGTTTCTTCACTTGTGACCAACGTAATATTTGTCGTCATATAAGTAACATAACCCCTTATTCCTCCATTCTTCCAATACTTATGTTGAAAGTATGAAGGTCTTTGTATTAGTTTGGGCAATAATCCAGCTATGGTTCTTTGTGTTAAGTGTGTTGAAGGGTTGACTTGGGATAGCAATTTGGCTGATAGGTTGAGGGGAAAGAAGGTTTAGCCAGATAACAGGCTAAGGCTTAAAAGCAGCTGACTTCTGGGAGTTTGATTTCCAAAAATTCCATACAGAATCTTTTGTAGATTTATTGGTAACTGAAGGGCGAGAAGGATACACATTCAGAGGGTTGTGGTAGTAAATGGAGTTAAAGACATCTCCTTGTTGTCTTGCTAAAATGTAAATATGGTTGATGTTGATGAGATTTTGAGTACATACCAGAACCGGCAACTCAGGCTTAAGTCCAGTGAGAAATAGCATCAGCTGATATTCTGGTGGAAGATTTACACGGTTTGATAAATCGCAAAGGCTTGGAAATATTCCCTCAGGGACCCTTCTTGTCTTAACTCTGTAAAATCAAGGGATCTGTATATACTGTATCCCCACCCAAACCGAGTGTTCAACCAGATCAAATATTCTTCCCATTTCAGTGACAATCAATTCGAATCTTCATCAGCATCTGATGCCTCCCCAAGGCTTGATCTTCTAGGTAGACCGAGGCAATTTTCACTGTCAAATCTTCTGGTATATTTTCTAGCTCAGAAAACCTTTCGGCCCTATAAACCCATCCCTTGATATTTTCTTCAATCTTGGAAAATCAAGCTTTAGTTTGTGCAATTCTTTAAGATTATCTTTCTTTTTCTCTTTTTGTGCTCCAGAACTTTCATCTTGGGTCATTCCCTTGTGGGATTCTCTAGTGTGTCTCTACTGGCGCTAGTCATCGAGTTGCTGGTCAGTGACGTGTTATTATTTCATGAATTTCTTCATTTCTCCTATTTTATTTTCCAGTTTGTTTTCCAGCTCTGACATTTGCCGCAACACTCCTTCCAATTTCTCGCTGTTTTGGGGCTAGTATTATCCGAAACAACCATGGTACCAGGGTCTACACTCTGATACCACTGATATGAAAGGATTCAAAGAGAGATAGAGAAGAGAAAAGGGTTGAGGATTTAGAGGACGAGAGGAGAGGATTCATGCAGAAGCAGAGGGAAGACTTATTCAGAGTTCATTAATTTCTCGGAATGTTTTTTACATCATCAGGGCTACATATTTATACACGTAATTCATGCAGTTATGCCCATTATTCTTTTCATACATATTCTATAAATAACAGGATATTGCCTTAACATGCAGTTGCTTCCCCCATAGATATTTAGGCAACCGCAACTAACTAATATCTCTCTTGCTGACTTGTTAACAGAAGAAATTTAAACACCCTTGTTAGAACCCTCCAGGGATGAGCTTTCAAATATGCAGCAAAGCTGTTTTGTGTTGCGAGGTCCCGGATTTCTAATTATTTTATCTGTTTTCTTTTTCCTCACATGATATTTCACCATTCCATAAAAGAACATGGATCCTTTTCAACATGTGCAACATATTATTGAAAAAGAAAATGCCTACATTCAATAGATGCGATAAAAAATCTCTCCCTCTAATTTCAATCAGTTCATAACTTGGGAACTGTTGTTTGATGATTCTTTTTCTTCATTGTTATTAGATCACCAACATTCAAATATATAGAGAAGGATTACAAGAATTATGGGCCTATAATTTAGGAGGGAATCCTAATTCTTCAAGTCTCCTGGGAAGGAAGAAGATTTACACCAGACATCATGATAAAATCATTGATGAAAAAGAACTTTGAAGATCGGAGTTCCAACAAAAATAAAAAGCCTCGAGAAAAAAAAATAGATCCAATCCGTATGCAAAGAGATATTAACAGAAAAAGTATCTAGAGGCAATATAACCATAATTTTAGGACAAAATAAGAACCTGAACTATTTATGCCAGTCTAAATTGGAGACTCTTAAGGCATGCTTTTGGGCTTACTCTTGCTTGCCTAGGATTTCTAAAGTTATAGTTTGATCCAGTTGATGGATTAAGAAGCTCAGTTTTGACATCAAAATCTGAAAATGAGCAGTATTATTTTACCAATGCACTCTTTTTGGATGAATTTGTTTGTTAGCTACATTTCAACTTATTTCTGGTTGATTACAGATTAGGAACTTATGAAAATAGTAAAATAGGATTTTAAGTGATAACTTCCTCCTATAGTTTTTGAAGCCTTTTTTTGTCTTAAATGATCAAGGAGATAGTGAAAATGAAACTAGAATGCATGAGGATTGCATTATGTATCATAAAATAAATTTTTTGGTGAATTATTAACAAATAATTTTTGGTTGATGCTTTAGGGAAAAATAGTTCCTCCAAGGGGCCCAAACGATTTTGGATGGGATCCAATCTTTGAACCCAATGGATATGATCAAACGTAAGTCTGTTCTCTTATACATTGATTTATGCTCTTTGTATTGGTATTTTTTGGTAATTTGTTCAGGGCACAGCGGGATTATGATTGTCTTTTTGTAGATATGCAGAGATGCCAAAGGAAGAAAAGAACAAGATTTCTCATCGTTCTAAGGCCCTTGCTCTTGTGAAATCCCACTTTGCTGCTACTGGATACACTTTCTTGACAGATTGCGCTTCATAAAAGTGAGCTATTAGTTTTTCATCTCATTGCAGACTGAATTTATACAGTTACATACATATCTTAATAGAATTCAAGGTGCTTGAATTCTGAAATAGGATGCTGGGAGAGCCATTGATTTGATAACATTGGGTTGGTAGTGTTGACTCTTTGATTGGACGGAAACAATGTAAGGTTTGCTTATGCATGATAGCAAAGAAGACCCCAAAAAAAAAAAAAAAACTGAAACCTCATGAACCAAACAAAATGGTGGCTCTCCTAAAAGTGACGTTTCTTCACTGTTATCCGGTTCATTTGTTCTGCTGTTATCAGTAATTCGATTTTGCTACAGTCAATAAGTTCCTGTCTGGCTTTTAAGGATCATACTGTATAAGTGATGTCTAACCTAGTTCTAGAACTTTAGTGAAAGCTGAGATACTATGCTTTTCAACAGCCATGAATGGAAATTCAGAGTTTGTAGCAAATGGGGGGGGGAGAAACATTTTGATTGCAAAGGTGAACTACCTTTTTGCATGTCTTTAACTTTGGGAAATGCCTTTTTAAGTTTTAAATCTATGGAGTAGACAAAGGGTATCCTAGTGGTTGCAATTGGAAGGTCAGAAATGGGGAAGACAGGACAACATTGAGTGGAGGTGTTTCACCAAGTGGAAAAAAACATTGTCCGGAGGTGAAAAAAACAGTTAATTCAGTTTTATTTGGCAACAAGCTAATAATTTCCTTGCAGAAAACCTCCCTCAGGTTCTGCGGTTTCTTTGGATGATGAGCTTGGGTAGGATAGCGTAGTGAAACTTACTTTATAGTTTTTGGGGCTTGTGTTTCATGATGTTTCTCTTTTAAGGAAAATTGCATTCTTCTTTTGAATATGGAGACCGTGCGTTTAGTGGGAGAGAATGGATAAGAATCAGTGTGGTGTCTCAGCAGTAAAATTCCTTGATTTGCCCTTTTTTTTTCTTTTGTGAAGATATTCCAAATTTCTCTCGGTAGGTTGAGCAGCTTGTTTGTTGGGTGTGTTGTACTCTTACTCCTGGCAAGAAAAGGATAAAAAAAAAAACAAGTGCACATGTAACTCTGTTTATTTTATATGGTATGTGGGTCAATAATTGAAGCACCAGATCCATGATAAAGCCAAAATGTTTTAGGTTTCCCTAATATCCTTCTTTTGTAGATGCCAAGTTATTATCAGCCTTATGGATGGTGGCAGAATAGTTCTCACTTGAACCAAGTTGCATGAGAGCCTAATCCAGAAATCAAGCCCTATCTTTTTCTAATGCATCAACTAGTACCTAAAGACAGAAGGGGTCATCATCCTGAAATTCAGCTTCTCTCTTTTTGATGTTGGGCAGCAGACTCAATTATGCAACGAGTCAACCTCAAAAACTAGTTTTGATATAGTATTTGATTTGAAACGTTAAGTTGTAGCAGAATATTGAACTATGGACAAAGGAAAACAAGCCAAAATAATAATTCCAATTATTTTAATGGTCTTCATGTAGACATGAAATGATGATCTCCGGGATAAAAGGAGAGAAGGTACTTGGGAAATTGCGCTGCACTGTGCAAACCTTTTCCAACAAAATAATTGCAAGGAGGGTAGCAGTGATAAGAAAACGTGAGCAGGATATGGATGTGGAGAAGGAAGACCTTGCAGGTTCAGCTGTAAATGCTGAATGCACGAGAGATGACAGGTTCGGCAAAAATGTTTGTTTAAAATCCCCATGGCTGTATTAATGTTGTCAAGTTGGGGATGGAAGGGAAAATGGTCCCATTTCTTTACATGCTTTATGGATTGGTGACCCACTTCACATGCAATGCCATGTGGTTTTCCAATCGAATTATCCCTCTCTGCCCATTCAATAACTTGTTTTTTTTTTTTTCTTCCTCCATAAAAAAAAAAAAATTTCCTCCCAATAATTTCAGGCTTTTTAACTCCTACCTCTACCTCATACCACTATTTTTGGTTGTAACAGTATCTAAAATGGTCCCACCCGCTTATTTTCTTTTATATTTAACTCATTCACGTGCAACTCTGTAAATACATTAATCAAACCCATTGTTTTGGAATCAAAGCCAAATAATTTCCACCTCAACACTTTTGTTTTTTGTAGGTAATACATCATTTCTTTGATGGGAAAAAGTAATCGTCCTTGTTGCATGTGCATGTGCATGTGCATGTGCAACCATCACTACTGCTGGCAGGTAGCGGAACATAAAGAGGGCAACCAGACTAATTTTCCACATAACCATAATTCAACACACAAAAGTAATATTATAAATAAATTGCTTTCATCTCTTCGCTAAAGAAAAAGCAAACAGAAAAAGAGGAAAAAGAAAAGGCAAAAAAAAAAAAACCAAAGTGAAAGAACATCACTGCTATTGCTATGCATCATCTGTAATAAAATTTCCAATGACTCAGAAGTTTGACATCCATACTATTTTGATCGTATGACTAGACACAACAAATAAAGTAAACTTAAAATAAAAAAAAAGAAAGAGGAAAGAAAATCACCAATCATTCAGAACCTATAAACTCAATAGAGACCCAGAAGAAGGAAGAAAAGGAATTGTGAGTGAGACTAGAGACATGGAAGTATCCAACTGGCGGTTAGGGAGAATTTTGGATGAAGCTGGATAATAACCCAGAATGGGAAGTGAAAAAAAATGACCCAAAAAAAAAAAAAAAAAAAAAATCAACAACGCTTCCGCACCTGCTCCTAGAATGGAATAGTTTACTTTCGGGCGAAGCAGGCCGAGGTTGAGAAAATAAACATTTGACAGAGTGGAATAGGAGAAGAATATAATGACAATGTGTAAAAAATGTACACTTGTCAATATATGTGAGGGCAAAAGGGTAGGTGGTGGTAGTGAAACAATGGTCGGATATTTGGGTGGGTAGGTAGGTAGAGGAAAATTAAAAAACAGGAATTGATATAATAAGGCCTTTTTTTTTTTTTCTTAGGCCAGATTAGTAAGTGGGATTGTACTCTCCCTAGCACTGCCTTCCTCTTCGGCAGGGTAGAGCACCGGCATTAGAAGTAATGGTACCAACCATGGAGGAGGACTTGGCACCCAAACTTGAGGCTCTGGCATAGCTGGCCGAGGCTCCTGCACCAGAAGGAGTGAAATATGCTCCGTTGAGCAAAAGGTCTCCCTCTGACCGCCAGTTCCAGCTCTTCCACTGGCTTGCAGCAGTTTCCACCCTCTTAGTCACCTGTTCACCCCAATCCACATTTATAATCGGTTTTAACTGGTTTATAAGAAATAACCTCATCTTTATTTTATGAGACACGGGTTTTACCTCCTTGGCAAACGGGTTAGCTGGAGCGTTGTATCTGTTCCCCTGGCTGTTGATGGTGGGGTTTGCACTTCCACCAATTGCATACATTTCCCAGTGCGTGTAGTCATTGTTCACCACATGGAAATAACCGTGTCTGCACCTGTATAATTAATAATTCCAACTCTTTTTAGATCAAGGAAACTTGAATTTAAACCCAGTCCTGTACCAAATTCATTTTAGGTTCCGGCACTAGTCCTTTAACCAAAACAAATATTTTCATGGTCCAGTGAACAGAGTGTATTCTCTAATGATTGTCCAGATGAAAACTATCATCACGCATCAGCAGCATTAAGCAAGGGTATCGTGGAGTGAAGAATGGAGCAAACGGGTCAGAAAAATCTTCTCCACTGAATGGAGAACATTGGAGATGATAACAAATAGTTAATTCACATATTAATTACCTGGGCATCCTCTGAATAAGTCCCTCTCCGAAATGGTTGTAGGCAATGGTCACTTGCATCTGCTTGTCTCTCGTGTACGAATCGCTATGACCCAGCAACATAACCTGCGTTGAATCCCATTTTAAAAAAAGAAAGAAACCAGCATCAGCCTTCGTCATTAACAATACGCTACACGAGTAAGAGAATGGTAGACCGCACATAAACGGACCTCATTGTGGTGGGTGAAGTGATTGTTGGAAATGGTAATCGCAGTAGAACCCATGACAGCATCAACGAGGCCATCGGCACAATTAGAGAGCGAATTGTGATCGACCCAGATGTGACTTGATCCAAAAATTGAGATGGCATCACCATCGGCCATTGTCCTCCACCCAAAGTGAGTGGGGGAACTTCGCACCATAGCATTTCCAGTTGGCTTGCAATCATGGATGTGGAGACCATGAATGATGACATTAGTAACAAATTGAATCGTGATACACGCTCCGTTGGCAATGTGGACATTGGCGCCACGACCATCAATGGTCTTGAAGCTGTTCATGATCAATTCCTGTTTCAATTGAATGACCATGTCTCTTTTGAAGACAATCCAGAGAGGCTTGTCCTGGATAACAGCGTGGCGCAAAGTGCCAGGTTTTGGGTTAACAGGATCATCATCGCGTGGGTCAGTGACGACATAGAAGCGGCCATCACGTCCGCCAACGGCATTCCGGCCAAAACCAATTCCACAATCAGCAAGGCGCTTGCGGTTCTTTTGCCAGTTGGCGTCACACCGCCAGCAGTCATCAATTGGATTGCCAGTTCCACAAGAGAAGTAGCCCAGTTTTCTCCTCTCAGTGTGGTTGCGCGCGCTCCTGCAAAGTCAAATATCAGATTAATATAAATCCCCTTCTCTAAAGGTCACCCAACCAGTAACTAAACTTTCAAGTTCTCAGAGTTGCTATATCCATGTCCGAACAAGAATTGGTTAACTGGGGTGACAGTAATTCTTGGTATTGGGTGTGTCGGTGGAGGTGAATCGTGTAAATATCATTCCTCTCGTTGTTTGGATTTAACTAACGGATCAGGAAACAGATCCATTATAGAGGTAAGCACATAATGACAAAAAGAAATGATTTTGGGAATTTAAGTGGACAACTAAGTCCTCCCTGTCTAACGGATCTAATTCTGTCGGGTTGGTTTGCACATATTTTGTCCTTTTACCATTGGTGGTGCTGTCACATGCAAGAACCGTGCAGGAATTTCACATTGATTTTTTCGCAAGCCCAAAAATTATTGCACCTTCCTCCTACCTGTAAAAGACAAAACCATCTCCTTTCCACTCTTTTTTACGGGAACAAACTCGAGCACCAAATTATTGGGTATAATTGGCTTACAGAAAACAGAAATTTGAAGATATTTATTTGTGCGTAAGCAAAATTCGCTTTACAAAACTTTATTTTAAAAATGTAAATTTTCATAAGCAGATACATTTTGTACCTTTGGGTACAAGTACGCGTTATAATAAAGGATAAGGGGAACATATACGTGAAACACGGATCTGACCACAGTAGTGGCATGTGGTGGAGTGGAACTGCTGTGATAAACAGTGTGAAAAAGGTCAGGCATGCAGCTGATGAAGAACACGGAAGTTGACCTACAGATTCCCCTTTACGATGAATTTTACGGAAATAAAAATGAAAAAGGGACAAGGATAAAAAGGGAAAATTAAATTGACATGTCAAGCCACACCTCTCTACCAGTTGGTAAGACTAAAATCATCAGCATTCAAAACAGTGGAAAATTAGAAAGCGAGTTTAATAGAAATGGGTAAGTTTGGTGTTTGGGTAGCTTATGTAACATCTCCCCTGACCACTCTACCTTTTCTTTTTTGATGATTATTAATGTAATAGTGAGGTTTCAGGTACAGAGTCGAAATTCAATTGAATGAATAATAGCAATCATGCACGAATTAGATACATGCACTCGTATTATGATATGTATAGGGGTGAAGAGAGTACGGGGCTCACATTTCAACCAAGGCAGCAACCTCGTCAGCAACATTATCTGGGTCATCCACAGCATGTTCATTCAACTCAACCTTCCCTGTAGACCTGAAACATCATACCCATGAGTTAAAAAAAAAAAAAAAAAAAAACCTCCATCAATTTTACAAAAATACCCATTAACCACCGCAACTATACAGCTAGTGCCTAGTAACGAACCCGATAGAAATTTTACTAGGCAAACACGTGGCACTCAAATACAGTGAGTAACAGGTAAAAAGTAAAAAAAAAAAAAAAAAGAACACGAATTGCAATGCACGGAGAGAGAGAGAGAGAGAGAGAGAGAGAGAGAGAGAGTGCACTGCTCAAGAAGCAGATAGCCACCGACCAACAGAACCGTTAAAAAGCGTTTTCTAGAGAGAGAAACAGCAAGGCGATTCGTCGGTGAAAGAATTGCAATGACCATACTACCCTTCATTATTGCTAACGGTTCACTACTCATCGACCAAAGCTGACGTGGATAACGGCAAATTACGAGGGTAATTCAGGAAATAGGAAAAGAAGGGAAGGTGTCTAGGCAAACAAACAAATCAATGTGGCTGGGTATAAGGAAGGAATCCTCAAGGTAATGAACGAACAAACAACGGAATAAACGGTCCAGATTTAAGGATCCAGATCTCAACGGCCGGGATAGTTATTTATGGTTTTTTGGATAAAATAATTAACAGTTCTCCATCCCAACGGTCCCAAAGGAACAAAATCACGTAACCAACGGCTCTGATAAGTTTAGGTAAAAGAATTTCTGATGTAAGAAACAAAAAAAAGAACATTGCAATGTAGATGCAGTGAGAATTTCCAGTTTTTGTTTTTGCCGAAAAAAGTGAAAACTAATCCTAGGAGCTCTTCTAGCTCTGTAACCTTGCCTCCATTAATGAGTTGTTGGAGCTCTGTGTTCACATTATTAAAAAAGTACAGCCAGTAAAAAAGACGAATAAATGCAGAGGTCTTAGAAAAAAAAAACATATACGCATGAATCTTTCTTTTTTTTTTTTTTTTTCTTTTTGAGCAGCATGTATGAATTTGAAGCGTAAAAAAAACACAGCAAAATTGTTAGAAATCGAGTATCAAAACCGACATCCTCTTTTCTCCATGGAGTTACTTTGCCAGAAAAGCGAGGTAAAAAAGAAATAGGCATTAAAGCACAGGTAAACATCTTTTTCATCCTATTATTTTCATCAAGTTAAATGTGGAAGCAGAAGCTTCCAAATGCAAACATTAATGGACTCGTCAAGACAATGAATGACAAGCAGTGACCGACCTTGTGCGAGGAATTTAACATATGGAAAGCAATCTTCTAATCCCTCCTACAAAGGTGCTTTAAAAATTTATTGAGAAACCAGTAATGTAGCTTAATTTTGTAATTTTTCATTTTGTATAAAACCGTTTATCCGAGAAGAAAGAAAAAATCTAGCAGTCTATGAAATTCTAAAGACCAGAATTATCAGCAAGGAGTAAACAGTTAATTCCATGAAAAGTATATAGCTAAATCTGGAGAGTGAAGGAAATTCCTAAAAGAAAGGTAAAACAAAGTAGAATTGAGAATAGAAAACAGAAGTCTCTGCTGCTCAGTTGAATTTTTCAATGGAGCAAGTATAAACAGAGATAACCAGAGAGGGAATTTCGAAGCAGAGAATATAGGATCCGAGAGACAGAGAAGAACAAGAAGAGATAAAATGGAGAAGGAAAAGAGAGAAACCTGGAACTAGAGATCTCTTTCTCCTGCACAGTCGCCATTACACCTACGATCAACACGAGAAGCAGAGCTAAACACACAGAGGTCCATCTCGTAGACACCGCCATTTCCATTTTCTTCTCAACTCACTCGAAGCTCCTGTCGCTTTCCCTCTAACCTTCCAAACACAGTGGAAGACGAAGAGGAAGAAAAAAGAAAAAAAAAAAAAAAAGAGGGAGAAAGCGGAGAGCAAAGCAAGCAAGAAAGGAGCAGAGAATGCAGTGGAGTCAGAGGTGAAGCTCCAACGAAATCTTCTTTTTATAGAGTGGATGTTAAAAGACGGCGTTAGGAAAGTAAACGTCTCCGTTTCTTTTTTAACCCTAGGTAACTCGACCTTAGACCATTCCCAACCAATCCCCTTAACTGCTACTAACCGCTCTCTCAACCCAGAAAAAGGTCAGTCAAGCGTGCGAGTCACACATCGTCGGCTAACACACGTGCGAACGATCCCTCCGGTTACAATTACCGGACGGATAGTTAAGTTAAGTAAAAGGTAAATAAATGACACGTCAGCAAGGTAGTTACGGACGGAGGGTAACCGTACGGGGGATGCAGAGGTCACGGTTTCCTGCTGAATTTGCGGTAGGGAATGGAATAAAGTAATATAATAGGAGAAAGGGGGGGGGGGGGTCAATGAGGTAAACAGCGTTACGTTTGCGTGTTCCATTAAATATTTTCCGGGAAAATTGAGTTCCAACTTTAAAAAATTTTCTCAAGCGCCAATCACGGCTTTGAATTGAATCAAGTAAAAAGAAAAAAAAAAGGGGGGGGGGGAGACCATGTTGACTCTCACTCAATCTGAAACAAAGTTCAACCATCTTACAGGCTGTTGCTTCTGTTGTTGATTTAATGTATTTTTGTGAATTATTAGGTTAAGAAATATATTTTATGGTATTAATGGTGTGTCAATTGTTTGGTTGGCCTTGCAAGTGAAATGATCAAATAAATTAATCCTAATTAATTATTATTTTAAAATATTAATGTAAAGTTAACCCATGTGTTTAATATGAAAATTGACATTAATTATCTCTCATATTATTGTTAAGAAAAAAATGTGAAAAATGAGGGTTATTACTAATCTACAACTCATTAAATCCTATAGTATATACGTATACTAGGTGTAATTATGATTGATTGAATCCAGCAAGCTTTTAGTGGGTAATATCCATTGTCCTGAAATTTTGCACTCAGTGATTTTTATGTAAAAAAATATATATATATATATAGTTGTTAGAAGAATAAAATTGCTTCAATTTGAAGTCAAATGGAACAGCATATCAAATCGGCGGACCAAATTAAGAAGAAAAAAAAAAGATGTTTGGACCACCCGTGAAATTCAAATGCGAGTATTTCGAGTTTAAGCATGCAATGCCACGGGAATATATTCAATTTTTTTTAGAGAGAAAATATCATTTATTAAGGCCTTAATATTTTATTTTTATACTATATAATACACATAAATATATTATTTTTATTTTTAATATTAAAAAAATATTAATCGATTCGAATCGGATACGACATAAAAGTAAACTGAACACTATTCGCTCTAATTTGGTCTAGATTAAATTTATTGTTCTAATTTATACTGGATAATGTTTAAATCAACTCGTTAATAGTAAGAATTTTCAATCCATATGTAGGATCAGAAGAAGATTAACCTCAAATACTCTAATAATAGTGGTTATATATTGTACACGTAAGTAAAATCCCTCCACTCTTTATGGTGTTAGTATGATACAACTGATTGATATGTATTTAAAGAGTATTTCTTAAAAGAGAGTAGACAGAAGTCACCAATTATGAGGAATGTAAAGGAACTGAAGAATTCGAATAGATAAGCCTCACCGACCCCAAATGAAAACTTGATGCCAATTTTACTCTAAGATTAAAGTTTTAAGAGGATAATTAGGGTATGAATGAATGCAAAAAAAAAAAAAAAATAAACGTACACAAAACCCAACCAAGTTCCTCCAAGAGCACGTAGATATTTTTATCTTATCACCCTCAAACATGTTATACATTAACCTAATATCATCATCCACAAGTTAACTATTGGCTCTAGGTTTAAGTTAATAATTAAAAAAGAAAAAACTTTTCTTCTAGAAAGTGAGAAACAATTGTAAAAGAGGTAGATAAGCGTATGAAGATATGTTTGATCAAAGAAGTGTATTATATCATATAGTTGTTAAACATAGTAATGGTGAAAAGAGTTAATGGAGACTAGTGACGTGTAGATTTTATAGACCTAAATAAAATGGTCCAAATGAATTGATATATCGATCGATGTTATAATAGATAACTAACTCATATTTTGTGGATGATTATTTAAAATACGACCAAGTCATGATGATAAAGGATGACGAGTAAGTAAATTGGTTTCATAAACTACATAGACCTTTACTACAAATCTATCATGTCATTTGAGTTAAAAAATGCTGAGACAACTTAACGGCTCATCAACACCAAGAATATGTAGTCAAACTTTTCACTACCTTGGTGAGAGGACTAAGAAAAACAAATAATGATAATAAGAGAAATATAATATATAAATTATTACTAACATTTGTTTAGTAACTTTTTTGAGAAGCTGTGAAGAAAAATGGAACTTGAAACTTATAGTAAATCTCATTATAAGGTACTTACAAGTAAATTGGGATCCAATGAGAAGAAAAAAAAAATCAATAGGCTTATTATACATTGTGGAATTATGTTTGATGTTTGTTAAACTGTCCATTAACTTAGGAATTCAACGTCTTTTATAATCTACTATTTCTTTTTTACAAAATTGAATATTAATTTTTCTAATCATTAAGTTGGTAGAATTAGAGAATATCTAATATATTTAATACAAAAAACACATAATAAGATATAGTACGTGTGACATTGAAATATACTAAAGAAACATTTGACTATTTAGTCAATCGAGTTTCTTTGATAGTAATTAATTATTTGACCTTTAAAATATGGTCATTAAACACCTAGTGGTCATTACTATTATATATAATCGTCATCTTATAATCATATAATTACTGTTAATAGGACTCCACTAACAAAAGTTAATGAAATTTTAATCATGTTATTAAAAGTAGTTTAAAATAAAAGTTAAATATATTTTCTTCAACTTACTTTACACTCCTATAAACGTACATTTGGACGTTTATCATGAATAAAATTTTAAATATTAATACTTACTCATATTTATATACGAAAAGCACGTAAAACCACGAATAAGTTAAACCTTCCTAATCATCCCTTTTGTTAGCCCGTAATACATTTAGGGTTTAGTTAACTTATGTAATTGAAATATAGTCCACTATCATATGTCTACATTACCAAAAGAGTCAATGTCACCAACATGATATGATGTATTGCCTATGCAATATCCCTTTCAAACCTCAACGAGTAGCCATCAACAATTGGAATTACAACTAAATCTTAAAATAATTTTTTTTTAATAATAGTAAATATTTGCATGGTTTAAAGGTTGCTTTTGATTGTGGTAGAACCTAAAATACCTAAAAGTAGGGTATAGTTACTATTAATTATCAATTACTATTAATTACCATATGCTCGTTACCTGTATTTGAGGGAATAATTAATTTGAAGAATGAGTATAGTTTAAGTAACCCACATACAGTAGTAATTAATTAATTGCAACAAACTTATGTAATTAAGATCACGAATGGTGTACACTCTAAGGATGTGGCTTACGAATATGCTTATTGCTCTCTGAAATTATATGTATACCTATCCATATACATACTTACGTACGTATATATATATATATATATTCTACTCCAAACCCATTTATCCATATCCAAAATATCTCTCATTATTTACCCTTATTATAATTGAAAAAAAAAAATAAAAAAATAACAAAGCTCAAAAGTCACTAATATATAAATTCACCTAAAGAAAATTAATATTAATCAATTAAAGAAGGCTGGAGGCAAAAGTCTAAACATAGCTGCAGTAACTTTTAATTAATTATTTTTAAAAAAAAAAAGTAAATCCGCGTAATATATTCATATGTATATGTGTGTGTATATATATATATATATATATATAGAGGGGGGCAGGATTATGTTCCCATGCAACACCCCAACTGGCTTCCATCATGGCAACTTCTCACGCTCACAAACACCCACCTTTGTGTGATTTTACATTTTTACCCTTCTCATCATCATGATCGTTTACAGCCATTGATTGTGTTGACTTTCGGAGTTTAGAAGTTAAAATGATGATTATCCAAATTCTGATCATTGCAATCCAAATTACTCCAACATTAACATTTATTAAATGTGCTTATTTTTTGTAGTAATCATATTAATTAATTACTTGTTGGAAATAATTTTCAGTTTAATAACTGTCAAATTAGTTAATTAACCAAGTTTTATTATTAAATATTAATTGTAGAAAGATTAGGACCCTACCCGTGATATATACGTTTACTTGTGATATGAGCACTTGACGTAATTGAAATAAGATGTTTTTAATTGAAAACTATTTTAACGATTATATTTATTAAACATAATTTATACAAACAATTATCATTAGTTGAATAATTAATACTCTGTTATTGTCTATTAGTTTATAGGTTCGAGTCAGAAATGTGTATTCCGTATGTATTTTTATCATGAGTTAATTGTATTTGATACTTGTATTTTTAATATACGGGTCTCATTTAATTATTAAAATATATAATTTTTTTATTAAAAAAATTAAATACTAATAAAAATAGTTTAAGATAAAAACCTAAGTTTCTTCTCTTATTTAAAAGCTTATATCAATGTATATCACGTGGTACTAAAAATGATTTATAATTAAACATTAA